TCACTCTCTTTGTCAAGGGTGACAAGTGTCCTTCAGATGCTTTGCCACAAACCATACATGTTAGTGGCAAGGTGTCTTTTTGTTGTTGTTGGTCGTGGGGCCTGAACTCTGGTCCTATGTGCTGTCCCTCAGCTCTTCAGCTCAAGGCAGGCACTTTACCACTGGAGCCACAGCATCACTTCCAGTTTTCTGGTGGTTAATTGAAGATAAGAGTCTCACGGACTTTCCTACCTGGGCTGGCTCTGAATTGTGATCCTCAGATCTCAGCCTCCTGAGTAGCTGAGATTACAGGCATGAGCCACTGACACCCAGCTCCAAGGTGTCTTTTAACAAGTGCCTCACAAGGTAAGGGTTATCTGTTGGTCTTTGCACATCCTTCCCTGCTCCCCAAAGCAGGGTAGCGGATCTCAATCCACAGACCCTGGGAGCAACTCCTGCTGAAGAGAAGATGGCTGTATTTTGGTTCTAGCTATAGCATAACTAGCCAGTCTTCTCTGAATATTTTTTTTTTTTTGTCAGTCATAGGGCCTGAACTCTGGGACTGGGTGCTGTCCCTCAGCTCCTCAGCTCAAGGCTAGCACTCTACCACTTGAGCCACAGCTCCACTTCCAGTTTTTTCTGCTTATGTAGTGCTAAAGAATTGAACCCAGGGACTCATGCATGCAAAGCAAGCACTCTATCACTGAGCCACATTCCCAGCCCCTCTGAATATTGTTTTGAATCCTGTCTTTTCTTACTGGCTTAAAAAACACTCTGAATTGTCCTCATTTTTGACTGCTGGACTGGCTGATAAAAAGGACGGTTGAAACCAAATCCTTTTTAAATTACTGACTATCCTATGTGGTATTTTATGTAGTGTGTTGGTATGTTCATTGTAAGGCAAATAAAATACTTATTTTTTTGTGTATGTGTGGTGCCACGCTGGGGCTTGAACTCAGGGCCTGGGTGTTGTCTCTGAGCTGCTTTTTTGCTTAAAGTTAGCTCTCTACCATTTGAGCCACAGCTCCACTGCTGGCTTTTTCTGTGATTAATTAGATATAAGAGTCTCAGGGACTTTGCTGCCAGGGCTGGCTTTGAACCACCATCCTCAGATCTCAGCTTCCCCAGTAGCTTGTCTTTTTCTTTCAAAAAATCTGTCTTGGGCTAGTAAGGTGGCTCAGTGGTAGAGTGCTTGCCTTGCATGCATGAGGCCCTAAGTTCAATTCCTCAGCACCACATAAGCAGAAAAAGCTGGAAAGTGGCACTTGGCTCAAGTGGTAGAGCGCTAGCCTTGAGCTGAAGAGCTGAGAGACAGTGCCTAGGCCCAGAGTTCAAGCCCCACAACTGACAAAAAAGAAAAGAAATGGTTAGTTTTAAGCTGAGCATGATGGTACATGCCTGTAATTCTAGCACTCAGTAGGTTGAGGCAGGAGGATCCTTAAGGCCAGTATGGCCAATCTAGGGAGACTCTAACAACAACAACAACAAAAGCCTCCAAACCCAAATAAGCAAAAAAATCGTCATAGTTTCCAATATGGCTATCTCTGGTCACATGTGTCTTTTGAACACAGGAAATTGTGGCTAGCTTAAACTAAGATATGATGTACATGTGAAATAAGCTCTAGACTTCAGAGCTTTGGTATGAACAGAAAAAGTAAAATACTTAATTTTTTTCTTTTTGTAAAATATCTTTTTTTAAATTTTTATTTTTATTTTTTGCGAACATACTGTACAGAGGGGTTACAATTACATGGGCAGGATAATGCGTACATTTCTTACCAAGCATTGCAGCCTCCTCCTTCGTTTACCCTTCCCATCCCTTCCCAGCCTCCCCCCCCTCGTTTTCGACATGACAACTTGTACTTCTCATTGTTGCAACAGGCCCACCTGTATCCTTAAACGACTTGTTTTTCCCCATCTCCTCCACAAATTATACCAACATCAACTGTAGTGAAAGCAGGTTATACTGTGGGGGAGGGACATACAAAGCAACAAAGAAATAATCTTATAAATGCGTTAGAAACAAATGCATGAAAGAAAAAAAACATTAAAATACAT